AATGTCATTTGCGAAATCTCTGGTGCTGTCAAATGTTGTCCATAAGACGTACGTGGAGGTCAATGAGGAAGGCACCGTAGCAGCAGCGGGTACAGGAGCTTCCATTGTGAGGAGGTCTCTTCCTTTCACAGAGGTGTTTATGGCTGACCACCCTTTCTTATTCTTTATTAGACACAATCCTACCAACACCATTCTTTTCTTTGGCAAACTCTGTGCGCCTTAAAATCAAGGCAATTTCCTATCATCATGAGAAACACCTGTGTGAGAATCAGGAATTGTATATTTTCCCCAATGCATTCTTAATCCTTCGACTGCTAGTTTCTATTTCAGAGCAGTAACTGCAACCAGTTTAGCTTAGAACGCCTCAATTGGATGCTCTGCCAGTAGGCTTCCTGAATTGCAAATATTGATCTGAATCTAGAATAGGAGCAAATTTTGCCTTAACCTGACTGGATACGAGTAGTTTGTTTCCTCGATGCATACATATGTTCCCGTGTACCTCACAGTTCCCCAGCCCAGCCATGTAGCGTAGTACAGCACCCACCTGGGCTTGCAAAGGTGGAGTTGGTGTGATGCTGTCTGAGGAGAATTGTCTACAACAATTTTCAGTAACTGCCAGTAAAACCAGAGTAGCCCTGCTCTGTATTTTTTGATTCCTGGCCAGCTGGGTCCTGGTCAGCAGAGAGCTTCTTTCGAGAAACATTTTCCGTCTCTGTGTTCTATAGCTGTGGCAAATCCTTTGCACAGTGAAGATGTGACCTTGATAATTCCCCTTCCTGTAGTAACTGTTTAAAGCCATGTAGGAGATGGTTATTTACAGAAAATGTACCTATTCCTGATAACTGTACCACCTTCTCCCCAGTGATATGTACTGTTTCTGCCTTTGTGATATTCTGCATTATATAAAAAGCTTATGCTACAAGCAGCTTTGGCTTCATTTATTTATTTAGATGTACATCTGCATCTAAAGTTTCATCTTACTGACTGGAAGAATGATGTGACATGTACTCCTTTCATGTGCCTTGGGTCTCTTTGTGTGAGTTTTTATTAGTAGCATTGTTTTTTATGATGATAACAGTAGGAATAGTAAATCAGGGAAAAGGGTAGGATTCTGCCCTCAAGGACAGCTCTACAAAGGGAGTTTATTACAACAGTAACTACCTATATATAGGAGGGAAGGATTTGGGCCCTCTCTTTACTGCACTTTTTCTGCACTCATTTTTGAAATAAACGCTGGCAGAACTTTTATTTCAAACTTTTTTTCCAGTTTTTTTTTTGTTTTTTGAGGTTAGAAGAGAGCTCTGGAGGTCATCTAATCGACCTCCCCTGCTCAAGCAGTGCCATCTACAGCCAGTTGCCCAGGACTATGTCCAGATGGCTTTTGGATATCTCCAGTGATGGACACCCCATCATCTCTCTGGACAACCTCTCCTAGGCACCCCCTAAGTTTTCAAAAGGCTCCAAAGAGAATTTTGCATGCATGGTCTCTGCAGGAGCAGGATACAAACCCAGACATTTTTAAAGATGGTTAATTATTTGCACAGTAAAGAAAGCTGTCTTTTATATGGGGATAAATCAAGTGATTTCACTCTCAAAGAATAGGAGGAAAATGGTCTAAAGCACCCCATTGAAGTTACTGATATGGAAAACTGTAGCCATGAACTTCCAAGAAATGTGTTTTCTTCCTTGCATGCTGCTGTCTTGTAAATTTTAATGATCTGAGATGCAGATCTGAAAGACAGATGGCTCTCTCCATTATCTGATAAATGGAGAAAGGTTTTGTAAGGGGCAGTGCAAATAAAGGAAATCACAGTTAAACATAAACTGGGAAAGATCTGAGATTGTGGAAGAATAATAAAACCTGTGGCTGACTGATAGGGAGACATTACTGCTAATTTGCTGGTTTAATGTAAAGTAACATCTTCCTCAGAAGGATTCCACATGATATTTAACAAAGTAACGTTTGTAATGTGCTTTATGACCCACAAAAAAGAAAATATACATTAGTTGTTCACCATACAATTGGATTTAAAGCACCCTTGTGTTCTGCATTCATAGTTACCATAGCTTATGCACGATAAGTTACCTGGGGCCCTTTGGACAAGAAAGTCTAGGAAATAAGAGTGGATGATAACTGAGCAAGAACAGACAGGACCAGGACAACAAAAGAGTCGAATACACAAATTAGTCTTTACTGTCTAATCTGAAAGTGCAGTACAACTGCAGCAGGATTTCTCCAGAACGTTTCACTTCTGAAGACTGGCAGCCCAGTTTGCCTGTTAGACAATGTTTTTGTTAACTAAAACTGGCATTGTACAATGTTTACATTCCCTGGGGAAGTTGTGAGTACTGCAACCTCAAAAATCCACAATGCTACTGAAAATGCAGTGATGGGGATTTCTGTGATGAAGTGGCAAATGCCACAGGGGAAAAAAATACTGCCTTTTATTTGCATGTTTTCTCAGAAATGAGTTTACAGCCCTCAACCCCCTACATATCCTTTTCAAGCACTCTTGAGTTAAAACAAGGGTTTCCAGCAACACTGTGGGTTAGCAGGGGGGTGGATCTGCGCTTGCTGCTGGTGCAGACTGCAGGAGCTTTAGTCCTGAAAGTGAAAGAAAAAGAAAGGGAGGTTTGCAATAGAAGTCCCCATTTCATGGGAGCACAGGAGCTGTGCAGACGTGTGGTGAAAATGAAGGATCCTGGAAGACATACCCAGGGGCGTCTTGCTGTATCTCCTGTTCCCCAGGGCAGGAGCAACTCCACTTTGCTGCCTTTTTTACTTGTTGTTTTGTTCAAGCCACCCAAAGGTGAAGACTGACAATGACAGTGGAGCCCAACAAAAGCCTCGTAAGCCCCACATGCATTTCCAGGCAAAACTGTTGATGCCTCAAGCTCCCTCAAGCTTTCACAGTTCTGTTGAAATATGTAGGCTAGACCTAGGGGTTAGGAAACCAGATCCATAGCTGGAGCACAGCAGCAAATCTTGAGAGCTGAGCATCCCAGCTGAAAAGTGCTCCCATTGCAGTGTCTAACTCTCTGTGGTGTTGTGAGGAAAATCCTCGTCCAGCCTTGGAGGAGCAAGGAGCACCAGTCTGAACAGAGGAGCTGCTCCAGCTCAATGCCTTTCCCCGTATTTGACCATACCGAGCTCTCCTAAGCAGGGCTGGTGGTCCCTTCACTTTGCCTCCTCTTGCCCTTTTACTTTCATGAGGTTAATAGAAAAAAACCTCTTCCCTAAAATTCTCACTATATGGGAGCACCCTGGTGCTGGGATCTCTTCCCAAAGCTGTGTATCTGGGACTCCATCTACCCTTTGGACCAGGTCCTGTAGCACCCGGTTAAGCCTGCCACCTACTGATCCACAGTCTGGGAGATGCTCAAAACTCCAATTGGCTTGTGCTGCTGAAGGCCCCTATGTGCTTCCTCTGCTCTCTGGTTCTTGCTGACACTGGAAGAAAAACATGCTGAGATTCCCGAGACAGACCGAGTGCCCCTGCTGAGGCAGCCCCAGCTAAGGGTAACCCTCCGGCAGAGAAGCTGCTGTGGCACAGGCTGGATCATGGCTCCTCCTTGGGAAGGCCTGGATTAAAAAAGAAGTATCATACTGTAGTTATGGGCCCAGCTCTATCAGGTCTCCCCAAGAGACAAAGGTTATCAGATGCGCTCAGGTACTTCAGGGAGAGGGAGAGGTGCTGCTCTGAACGTTGCCTATCAGACTCTTGGTTTCTGATTTGTTTCTGTTTCCCTCTTGCTGTCACTATATGCTTCCTGCAGATGCCTGATATGCTTTTGAGATGATTCAGCCAGAGAATGCTAATGAGATGCAGCAGCATCAACAGGGTGCCTCCTCTCTGGGAGGGGAAAAAGATATTTCCTTTTTTCACTGCTTGTTTCAAAGAGTGAAAGCCAGAAGAGATCAGATTGTGTCTCTCACTTTGCCGCGAGACGTGAAAAGTGTTTCTCCTGGTATTCTGTCTGACGGCCCTTGATTTCCCTGGGGCATTCTCCTTCTTCAGAAATAAACTGGGCAGGGAGCCAGACTACACAGTGGTTGGTTTCAATTTAATACGGAGCCGATCACCGCCCTCCATAAGCGAAGAAACTGTCAGAGTCGACTCTTCTCAGCAGAAGGTAACTTTTTTAACTAGCTTTTGTCAGGGTAGCAATAGTACTCAAACCAGAAGCTGGAGGGGAGCAATGCACAAGGGCAGGCTGTGGTGTTTCTGCCTACAGAGCTGACTTCCCCTTTTCATGGATGTGACAGTCCCAGGATGTAGGAATTATGTAGCCAAACTCTTGGCTTGTGTGAACAAGGTCCCTCAAGATCAGGAGGGGATTTGGTAACCTCCTTAAAAGGCAAAAGGAAATAAATGGCAAGGCAGTTTTCTTAGAAGGGATAGGACATACATGAAATTAGTACCTCAAATTCAGGAGGTAGAGGAAGGCACTTCCACACTGCTGTTTGGCTATGCTTTGGCAATCCAACAGGCTAATCTCTCTCCTGGTTGTTTTCATAGAATGTGTTTCCTGTTTTACACAATATACAAACAAAAAAAGTTTGTATATAATATTCTCCAGTGAAGCACAGTGTCTGAAGGCTGCCCAATGCTTCTAAACCAGGTAGCGCTTCTTGCAAGAAAACCAGGATATTGACTATGGGACTGTATTTGCACAGTGTACAGCCTTTCAGAAAAAAAACGAGGACATGAACATGAGTTTGGAGCTAGTTGGAGAGGAGAGAGGAAGAGCAAGGTTAGGACTAAAGGGGAGATTTGCCCAGAGGTGATTATTATGGGTCACCATGTGGGGTGCACTTTGCCATGAAGTGCTAGGTGCGGTCTGAAACCTTCTCCCAGGAGCGAGTTGGTGTTTGGGGTGCTGAGTTTCTGGAGGAAGGCTCTGCATTTCCACCTCTCTCCACTTGTGTGCTCTGACCATGGCAATGTTGGTGAGATGGATTACATAGTTGTCCTGTTATAGGGCTTGGCCACGCCATCATGAGCTCCCTCAGTGCAGCAAACACCAAGTTCTGCGTGGACTTCTTCAAAGAGCTGAGCAACATAAAAGGAAATGAAAATATCTTCTTCTCCCCACTGAGCATCTCAGTTGCTCTGAGCATGGTCCAGATGGGTGCCAGAGGCAACACAGCCAAAGAGATGGAAAAGGTGAGTTGTTTTCCCTTTTCCTGGGAGCTGCTATTAGAGGCTTGCATTTGGAAATGTAAAAGGGGTGGAAGCCTTCTGGCAGTCTGAGCCATGATCTTCATGAACAACAAACTGAAAGAGGTGGCAGCTACAGGTCTCAAAACTCTCTTTTCCAAACATGCTTATCTGACTTGTGGTGCATATGAGGCTCCAGTGCAGCCTCAATGTGTTCTTTGTGTCTTCATTAATATATTTACATAGATCTATACTGCATTTATATCACAGGTGCTTCATATTAATGATGTGCTGAGCATGGCAAGTCCAGGAACAAAGATGACTACTGGAAAGGTGAGATGGGATCTGAAACGTGTGGTAACATTGAACTGTAGCATGGAACGAAGCAGGGCAAGACACGCTCACCTGCCAAATGGCAGCACTTCATCCAAAAGCAGCGTAAGAGCAGAGTTCAGCCCTGTTCTCATCAAAATCTGAAACCTGTGAACACATGCAGAAGAGACCCCATTGGTTTGCTCTGTGATGTTTTCCCGGATTTAAACAGGATGATCCTTTTTCAAGGTGGCAATTACAGGAGGGGCAGGAGACAAGCGTGTGTCTTTGGATGGTCAGGAAGCCCAGATACGTGTTTGTGGTCTTTGCATGCCCCTTGGCTCTGCAAGTGCATTTGGAGAGAGTGACAATGATTTCAGCCTGAGGGTGCATGGGGGGAGCTCCAGGGGAGAGCATCTTGCTAAAAATAGCTTTTCTCTGCTGCGCGCAGCATGAAGAAGCTGGAGGAGCCCATTCTGAGTCCCAGGAACTTCTGTTTGCCCTTGGCAAAGCTGGTGACGCGTGTTCCCTCAGCATTGCCAACAAGCTCTTTGGAGAAAGGACTTTTCGGTTCCTTCAGGTAAGTGACAATTGCTTGCAGATTTTGTGGTCTTGTAAAACTTCTCAGATTTTGTGGTTTTGTAAAACTTCCGTACTGTGTTTTGAACTTCTGCTAAGGACATCAAGTTGCATGTTTCTGTGTTGCTGCTGTTGCCACAGAAAAGCAAGCTTTCACAGATGGATGAAACACAGAGTGAGCCGAGTATAGAGAGAGCAACTGGTAAGATTAAATATACTTAGAGTGAGCCGAGTATAGAGAGAGCAACTGGTAAGATTAAATATACTTTCTGCAAAGTCCAGGACAAGGGCCTGCATTTCCCAAGGAGGAGAAAAGAATACTTTTCAAAGCCCTGGGTAGCAATTTTCACCAAAATTACTTTTCTTCATGCTTTGATATCACGCTTCATCTCATTTTTTTAAGTGCTGCAGCATATTTGCGTCTTGGAGAAGAAGAACATTTCCGCAGAAATCATCATTCCAGACAAATGCCTTTTCCCAGTCTGCAAACTGGGATCCTGGGGGAAGAGTTCATGTATTTTTTGTCTCTCTCTGCACACATATGTACATAATGAGACCCAACTTCATGTCCTGGTTTCAGCTAAACAGAACTGACTCTTTTTGGTGATTTTACTGTTCAGCTAAGCCTCTTTTAAGAGGCTGCGCTTTCTGAAGTTAACAGCATATTTTTGCAGACAGCATCTGCTACTAGCACTGATAACACCTGATGTTTATAGTTACTAATAAGTACTGGTGTGCAGAAAGGCTCTTGCTTATATTTGTTCTTATATTAACCAAGGTCACTGCTGGATCTTGTGTAACATGTCGGGGATTCCAATCCACGTATGTCATATTCAGTGTAGAGCTGAGGGGTCATGGGAGTTAAGCCCTCTTGCTCTTCTGCTTCTTCAGTGCCCGGCATCCAAGGAGGACTTTATCTGTTCTTCTGCATTTGATCCCAGTCTTGAGTTCCCGAATCCAGTTCCTCTCTGCCACTGAGCCTGGGATTTGTCCAGTGTCTGCCTGCTCTGCAGCATCAGTGGTGATTCCAGACAGGGGTGGGAGTTGGGTTTTAAATCAGTTATATATATATATTTAATTATTTCCATTATTTCCCTTATTAGTACTATCATTGTTTATTAAAGCTGTTTTAGTTTTCTTTTCCAATCCATAAGTCTCTCTGCTTTATTTCATTTCCCTTCTCATTTGAGGAGGGAGAGGGGTTAGAGAGCATCTGTGATTTGTTTTGTGGCCAGCCCAGCTCTAACCCTTGACAACTGGCCTAATCCCAGAGCATTCTTTCTGCTCATTTAAGCTGTGCATAATGGGAGAGATGAAGTCCTTGCATATTGTTTTTCATTTGCTGGCACTCTGAAGTGGGTTCTCCATGCAGAGTGGGATGAGAAGTGAGGGCCAACCTGCAACCAGGGCCAGAGATCCGGAGTGGGGAGCGGGGGCTGTGGGTGATGGCCAGACTTGCAGGGTCATGCCCTGCCCTCCCTAACAGCTATCTTGTTGAAATGGCTGTCATAGTGAAAAAGCAAAATACCCTTTCAGAAAGAACAGCAAGAGTAAATGCCATCAGAGCTGGGACTCTTATGTGAAATGTGTCCTAGGAACTAGTTGCTTGGCTCCTCCCTTTGCTCAGAAGGTCTCTCCTGAAGAGTCATACTGCATATACAGGACATTGATTCTGGAACAAGTAGCGCTGCACCAAGGTCCGACCTACAGGCTGGCATCCGTTTCCTAGACTCCTATTTTTCCCAGTGATCAAATAGCTGCCATATTACTATCATGTGGGCCACCTCTATTCCCTGTTTTGCAGCAATATTCAGATTCCATGAGGGCCTTGTACCTTTCGGAGCTGGAAGCTGTGGACTTCCTTAATGCTGCTGAACGGTCCAGAAGAAAAATTAATTCCTGAGTGGAAAAGCAAACCGGTGGTAAGGACAAGGCCTCTGCTTGGCTGCCTGGGAAGTGTGCATCAGGATCACGTGAGAAGTCAACAGCTGGTGTCTGAGTTTCTTTCTTTTCCTGAGTGTTGCAACATTCAGAAATGCTATGAAGTGATTAATTTTGCTTGTGGCTGCTGTAAAAGCAGCTTGGGACATAAGATGGTCTTGAGCTGCTGAGAGCTTTGATTCTGCTAAAGCTGTGGGTCAGTTCTTGCTGTGAATGGCCAAATCTTCCAAGTGAGGAAATAATGGGATCATCCTCAGTCACAGGTCAAAACAAAAGTGTCATTCACCTTTGCCCATTTTTTTTTACAGGGAAAATTAAAGATCTGTTACCTCGTGGATCTATAGATCACACAACAGTGCTAGCTCTGGTCAACACTATATACTTTAAAGGGCAATGGGACAAAAAATTTAAGAAGGAAATCACCAGGGAAATGCCTTTCAGGCTGAACAAGGTACAGTTGGGACAAAAGCTATGGGGGCAGGGGAAAGCAGGGAAAGTCCTGGTAAACTGTGTTCTACTGTCTGCAAGGCAAGTGTCTGTCCAGCTCAGGTGCAGGGGACCAGTTTATCTAATCCAAGAGCCTTTAGCCTGTGAAGTGGGAAAGCAGCATCCTCTTCCCAAGTGCCTCCAAGACAGAGGTCATGTGAAAGCAAGCTTCAGTACCTTCTTGGAGAGACTGTTATAGAGGAGACCTTGCTGAGACACATCAGCCTTTCCCAGGCATTGTAGTGGAAGTTGTCATTATCATAGAATGGCCTAGGCTGGAAGGGACCTTAGAGATCATTTTAATCCAGCCTCCCTGTCACCAGGGATGCCACGTCTTGACTAGATCAGGCAACACATGGGGACCAAACGGGAATCGAACCCGCGACCTTGGTGTTGTTAGTGCCATGCTCAACTGACTGAGCTAACCGGCCCCCTATAGGAAAGAGTTAGAGGAGGAGTAGAAACTGCAGTACAGAGGACAGGAGGACTTAGAGCAAACGTTTGGCTTTTGTGGAGCTTGAGACTCTGCCAATGCCCTCAGCAAAAATATATAGTGGTTTGAGGAGTGTTCACAGAAAATAAGAAAGAAATTACCAGCAAGTTGTTTCCGTGGGGTTTATTGCCTGATTTTTTTTTGCCTGTTTTTTTTCTGACTATTGACTTTCTGCATTTTAGAGAGAGCACAGGAATGTACAGATGATGTGTCGGACAGGATCTTATAAATTAGTCCAGAGACAAGAAGAGCAAATTACTGTGCTGGAGCTCCCATACACTGGAAAAGAGCTCAGCATGTTCATTCTTCTGCCAGAACACATCCGTGATGAGTCTACCGGCCTCGAACAGGTAACATTCCTGTATCTGCTCCTGGGAGAAGAAACTACCTGTCCATGCAGTATTTAAACAAGATGCTTCACAGCCATGCAGTCCAAGTTTGTATCATTTATTTTTATGGGTTTTATCTTGCTTTCATAGAATCACAGTATCACAGCATGTTAGGGGTTGGAAGGGGCCTCAAAGGTCATCTAATCCAACGCCCTGCCAGAGCAGGATCACCTACATTAGGTCACACAGGAACACATCCAGGTGGGTTTTGAATGTCTCCAGAGAAGGAGACTCCACAACCTCCCTGGGCAGCCTGTGCCAGGGCTCTGGCACCCTCACAGGGAAAAGGTTTTTTCTAATATTTTTGTTGAACCTCCTGTGTTCCAGCTTGTATCCATTGCCCCTTGTGCTATCATTGGACATCACTGAGAAGAGCCTGGCTCTGTCCTCCTGACACTCCCCCTTTACATATTTATAAACATTTATGACGTGACCCCTCAGTTTCCTCCAAGCTCAAGAGTGCCAGCTCCTTCAGCCTTTCCTCATAAGGGAGCCTTCATCCTGTCTTGTGCTCCGCTGGACTCTCTCAAGCAGTTCCCTGTCTCTCTTGAGCTGAGGGTCCCAAAACTGGGCACAATATTCCAGATGTGGCCTCACCAGGGCAGAGTAGAGAGGAAGGAGGACCTGTCTCGACCTACTAGCCACCCCCCTTCTAATACACCCCAGAATGCCATTGGCCTTCTTGGCCAGAAGGGCACATTGCCAGCCCATGGTCATCCTGCTGCCCACCAGAACCCCCAGGTCCCTTTCCCCTACACTGCTCTCCAACAGGTCTGTCCCCAACCTATACTGGCACATGGGGTTGTTCTTTCTCAGATGCCAGACTCTACACTTGTTGTATTTCATTAAATTTCTCTCTGCCCAACTCTCCAGCCTGTCCAGGTCTCGCTGAATGGCAGCACAGCCTTCTGGTGTATCAGCCGCCAGTTTTGTGTCATCAGCAAACTTGCTGACAGTGCTCTCTAATCCCACATCCAGGTCACTGATGAATATATTGAACAGTACTGGCCCCAGTACTGACCCGTGAAGGACTCCACTAGATACAGGCCTCCAGCTTAACTCTGTCTTTACAATCCATCTAATAACTTGATCATCCAGATCACACTTCCTCAGTTTAGCTAAGAGGATGCTGTGGGAGATGGTGTCAAATGCTTTACTGAAAACCAGATAAACCACATCCACTGCACGGCCATCATCTATCCACCTGGTTATTTCCTCATAAAAGGCTATCAAGTTGGTCAAAGATGACTTCCCCTTGGCAAAATCATGTGGACTGCTCCTAATGACCTTCTTATCCTTGATATGCCTAGAGACAGAGCGCCAAGGAGAAGTTGTTCCATCACCTTTTCAGAGGTGAGGCTGACTGGTCTGTAGTTACCCAGGTCCTCCTTCTTGCCCTTTTTGAAGACTGGAGTGACATTTGCTTTCCTGCAGTCCTCAGGCACCTCACCTGTTGCCCATGAATTACCAAAGATGATGGAGATTGGCCTAGCAATGACTTCCGCCAGCTCCCTCAGCACCCGTGGGTGCATACCATCAGGGTTCATGGATTGGTGGATTTTCAGATTGCTTGACTGATCCCTAACCCAGTCCTCATCAACCAGGGCAAACTCCTCCTCTATCCTGACTTCTTCTGGGACCTCAGGGCTCTCTCTGGGGCTCCTGAGGACAGTCTTCTGCAGTATAGACAGAGGCAAAGAAGGCATTCAGTGACTCTGCCTTCTCTGTATCCTCTGTTAGCAGGGCACCCATCTTGTTCACCAGTGGGCCTACACTGCCCCTCGTGTTAGTTTTGTCTGCAATGTATTTGAAGAAGACCTTTCTGTTGTCCTTGACTTCTTTGCAAGGTTAAATTCCAAGGAGGCCTTAGCTTTCCTAGTTGCTTCCCTACATCCTCTGACCACAGTCTTATATTCTTATCTTTCCACCTATATTCTTACTTTTCCACCTCTATTTCCATAGGTGGCATGCTGTTTCCTGTTTAAAGACTAGAGAGATTCATGGTTATATCGATTGTTTCAGAACAGCAGAGAAAGACTGAGAACACCTACTCAACAGCAACACTCTGTAGCTGTTCCAAGGAAGGCAATGCCTATTTCAGTGGACGAAATGTAGCACTAGCAAAGGGAACTTGTTTCTTCCTTGCAAAAGTATCAAGACATGATGCAGTGCTGGTGTTTGGTAAAAATCTGAACAAATGAGAAGGATCCCTCTGAGAAGGCTGGATTTGAATTTGCTTGATTTCTCGCTCGGTAGCTGTAGGTCACAGGTTCTGTCTTTGTCATGAAAACAAGGCCTTTCCTTAAAGGAGAATGTTGCTTTGAACATGACCATGATGCCCTGTGTTTTTTCTTTGCAGCTAGAGAGTTCTATCACCTATGAGAAATTAGCAGAATGGACCAACATGGAGAATGTGCATTGGCAAGAAGTCACAGTATACTTGCCCCGGTTCAGAATGGAGGACATCTGTGAGCTCAAGCCAGTACTGCAGACTCTGGGGGTGAGGGATGCTTTCATCCTTGACAAAGCTGATTTCTCTGGGCTGTCAAGAGAATCTGGGCTGTTCCTCTCCAAGGCCATCCACAAATCCTTTGTGGAAGTTAATGAAGAAGGCACTGAGGCGGCAGCTGCTTCTACATTTTTACTTGTAGCAGAACAATGCTCCTGCATTCCTTACGAGTTCAGAGCTGACCGCCCATTCATCTTCTTGATCAAACACAATCTGAGTAAGAATATTCTTTTCTTTGGTCGATGCTGTTCCCCATAACATTAGAGCAGGTTCTACTTCTTTCTTCCCAGAGAGAACACAATATTTACTCACTGCAGGGGGCTGGACTAGATGACCTTTAAACACCCCTTCCAGCCCAACACATTCTATTCTATGATTCTATGATTTTATGATTGTGGTAGAAAGGAGTAAGGCATAAAAACCACGTTGCTATCAAGTGTCACTGGCATTTCTTGGTATCCATAATCTTGAGAGAAAAAATATCTAGCTGCTTGAGCAAGACTAATGGGAAAAATTATAATGCGCTTTTTCTGTTTAGAGCTCTTCTCTCTCAAATGAAAGAACAATAGTAATTCATTTCATTCTTAGCCATCTCACTGGAGTCAGATTGTCTAAACTGTTGGGTAAAGTGCTGTATAAGTAAGAAATCCAAAATGCTGCCTCCCCTCTTCAGCTGTACCACAAGGCTGGTGGTGGGGCCAGCCTCCAGAAAGTGTTGCAGACCTTCCTCCCCAGCCACCAGGGAGAGCAGCTCAGTGCTGAATTGCTTTCCTCCCACATCTTCAGCAAACCCATCTCCAGCACCTTAATGCCATCAAGAGGGGAGGCCCTTTGCTGCCTTGATGACATCAAAACCCAGAGGTCATTTTCAGGTCCTGAGTTCAGTCCCACACAGATGTTGGGCATGGAGATACATAGCTGCATTTGTTCTTTGCTCTTCTCCTCAGGTACCCTCTCCAGCCCTCCACTTTGGGAAGTACCTTTGAAAACATAAGAGCCCTTCCCACAGGAGTAGAGACACAAAAGCTCTCCCTGGGCAGAGGCAATGGGTTTGCCGTTCAGCACTGGAGAAAGAAGTCCTTCTCCTCTCTGGTGGGCCCTGGGGGGTTATGGTATTTGCTTGGCCATGTTTTGGCAGCAAGCCTTAGTAGTGTGATGCAGGCTCATTAGTGTTGTGCTGTAAGGGGGCCCTAAGGACACCAGTGCAGTCCCATTTCCCTACTGTGCAAGTCCAAGCCAAGAATACCTTCAAAGAGATGCCAGCTGTCTGTCTGATAAAACCTGGACGGGTGTCAGGTGGAACCCAAAAACCCTGCACAGACAACAATGTCCTCAACAATGACCTCAAAAAGTTGGCTGCACCTCATTTGCCCCGAGCCATGCCATGCCTGGGTGTTGTTTCTGGGGAAAGTTGAGCATTGCTTTTTTACCTTTTTTCTCTCCTGCTGCAAAAATCAAGTGTAGGCACATTGTAGGTCATGTCTGACACATCATATGCCATGATGATGGTTTTCTAAAGCTTGATCCATTTACAACATTAAACTATAGCTTAGAAGTAATTTTAACTACGGTAGTCCTGCTAAACTGTAGTAGTTTCCTGAACCATGTAGTATGGCAGAAATAAAGGTATTCAAAGCATTTAATTGGTCTAGCTTTTTGAATCCTGATTTGAAAGATGCCTTAGGTACTCAATGCTTTTGAACATCTTGCCATGTGTTTTGTCTCTTGTCTGTTTTATATCATCCACAAACAAAAAGCACAGCGAGGTGCAATTTACTACCATCAGGAACTTAAATGTCTTCCACCTGCATTTGTTTGACTTGCTGTTCTAAAAATAATAATGGATGCAAAAGGTGGGCTTTGTTGTTTTTTTTTTAGTATCACTGGAAACCTTTCAAAGAAAACTCTTCCCCAGAGCTCTGGTGTTTCACATGTGCCTGAAAAACCATGCTCCTTCAAGATCATAAGATGTTTGGCCTTGGAGGAAGATTGTTCTAAGTCTGTAATCTCTCATCCTGCCAGTTCTACAGCCCTCTGCCTGATGAGTGGGAAATTATCTTACTAAATAATAGAAGGGCAACTACTGAGAAGAAATACTCAATTTCTCAATCCAGAATTTCATAACGGATTAAAGTCTCTCTGAAGTATCAAATCCTCCAGATCATATTTTCAGAATATATGCACGCAATTGTCTCCTAGCTGTACTGGGGTGCATTGAGTGCGACTTTCTTCACAGCAGCCTGTATAGTGGTCTTCTGTGTTTCTGACTGAAACAGTGTTGATGGCACGAATATTTTGGCTGTCACTTAACAGTGCCTGCACAGCGTTGAGGCTTCTTTTTCCTACTCTGCCCCGGCCCCCAGCAACTAAGTCTGAGGGGACAAGAAGCTGGGAAGGAATGCAGGGATTGTCAGGGGAATGATGAAGAACAATTACTTTTAACATCTAGTCTGATGGCCAAAAGCAATACCTTTTTCCTCAGAACTGTGCAAATTATACAGTGCTCTGCAGGGCTGGGCAGCACTGAAGGGTGTTTCAGGTTTCCAAGTCCACAATTAGTTGAAGCAGCTCAGTAGCTAACAATACCTACAGTATTTTGGGTAGTGTGATTAGTGTAGTAATAAGTTCTTGGTCATGAGTACTTCTACAATAATTGCATTTTATGACCAGGGAGACACTCCCAAACACTACTCCTTACACAGAGTATAAACTGACTAACAAGCATTTGCATGGCTTGGCCAGTAGCATGTGTCAAAGTTTAAGGGTGTCTGGATGTAGTTGTCAGGATGACTGAGGACAGAGAGAAGTTAAAACTCCAGGGATAAGGAAGCACTGAAATTTAGCAGAGGTTTGGAAACACTTTGTCTAAAAGCTTCTTAACACAAGTTCAGCAAACACCTGTTAGCTTTAATCTAGACATCTTTGATCCTGCTCAGGGCAGCAGATGCACTAGACAATCGCAAGGCTCCTTCCAGCCACACATTTCTGTCATTTCCAATTGAAGCTAATGGATGTCTACATGGAGCTGCAAAAAAACCCAAGAGATTTGCTTGACGTATCTGTTCGGGGTTATTACAAGATCTGCTGGTGGGAATAGATTTTTCATAGATGTTATTCCTGGAAACTTCACTTGCCATATGGACAACAGATTTTAGTATCACCTGCTTCTATACTAAAACCATCATCCATCCATTTTATTTTCCGTGGTTGGGTACCAGAGCCCCAGAAGAAGGTGTCTTCATACCATGTAGATTTTGGAGTAAGTCTCTCCCCATTCTTCAGGTAAAAGATATTTCCAAGCAGCCCTTTGTTCTTTACAGCTCAGCTCCAAAAACAATGTGAAAATGAACACTGATCTGTGCTGAATGTGCTGCATTCTCCAAAATATTTGGGAATTCCTCACCAACTGTCATTTAGATTAGGCCTCTATGAATTCTTATGTTAAACTCCTATTCTCTGAAGATGTACCTTGTTCTATGATATTACCTATGTCTTTATCAGTGACAAAACAATAAATGTGATGAAAGTTTATTGCTCTCCAGCATCCCCAGTATCACTGAAAAAAGCTCAAGAGTTCTAAGGAGAAATGCTTAAGAGGTAAAAACCCTAAGATTGTCCTTTTCACAAGTGCATTAACATGCCTAACTCCCATTTCTGTCACTTGAAGCATCTCGAAGTCCACCAGAATTATGACAGGCAAGTTTAACTTTGTCCATTTTCTGGGGTGCAGAATGACTGGCTTGGATGATTATTAGGGCCTCAGCAATGAAATAATAATAACGGCTCTCTGGAGAGACCGCTGCAATATCATCTATCTACTGTTGCCTAGATTGAAATGCCAAAATCCTGATGTTTCATCTCAGCGGAATTTTCATTCACGCATAAATTTCGTTGTTAAAAAATTGCAACCATTCCTTTGTAGGAATGAAATTCAAAATGCCAATCAATGTCCTTTGCACTTTCAGAAATCCCAAACAACAGCTTCATTGCATAAAAATATCTATTATCTATAGCTAGGAGAGGAATATTTATGAACCTTCTGTATCTCACAGCTTTGAAAAATGCTGCATTTGTTATTTAGGTAAAAAGACCTGGCTTATAAAGTGATTTAAACTGCCACAAAGGAATGATATCCAGACATATTGTAAATGAGATTCGTCACAAAGCCTGGATCAGCTGATATTATAAATAGCTCATCACGAACCACACCAGCATACCTCACAGCCTGCAAATATGTGCACTGCCAAAAAGCAAAGCAAAAGAAGGCAAATACTATCTGCATGAGCAACCATGGAAAGATAACACCCATTTGTCCAACAGTAGACAGATCTGTGTCTTTTCACAGTCTGGTTACTGAGTAATTCTCAGTTCACATATTCACTTTTCCACTGGACTCTAATGTCTCTGATGGCTGCAGTTCTCCTTAGTTTTCTCTGATATTTTGCTTTCTTCTAATCTGTTTCTTAGTACCTATTCTTAGTACTGCACTTAGTACCTATTCTTAGTACCTATTCTTAGTACCGCAACTATTATTATATTATGTCTTCAAAATATTTCCAGTGGATGGACAAGAAGGGCACAAGGAGGTTTTTGGGTTGTCACTGAAAAAGCCAAAGGAAGCAGTTTTGAGTAATACCTTTTTTCTCTAGTGCTTCTTTACTTCAAACTGTGACTGGTAGAAGGTTTTATACCAGGGAGTCCTGGTTCCTGATTACCCCAGTAAGAGGGTCACTCAGGCTGTGTAAGGCATGGCTTCAGAAGCCACTTATTTGAGCTAATATTACAAAGAATAAGAAGAAGGCATTGATAAACTTAGGTCCCCAGATGAGCTACTCAGCAGTTGCAAAGAGCAGCTTTATTTGCCAGAGAGCACCATGAGCATGACCCTGTTGCTGTGAGTGAAATCCAGCTACCTAAGGAGTGGCAACTGGGCAGGAAGCTGGGCAGTTGGGATGCATGTGCAGCAGAAGAAAAGTCACCATGTTACTGCTGTTTTATTATAACAAATTGAGTTATAGCTAGAGCCAGTAATGAAGGAATGTGGAGCACTGGTGGACGTGCCTCCTTTTACCTTGGCTTGCAGTGCAAACACAACACTCGTTGACATAGCAGCTGCTATCAGCTCTGAAGGGGAAAGGGCACGTTAGGCACTACGCTTTTGTGGAGCCTGACACATCGTGTCTCTGAGAGGTTTAATACAAGGTGCTGGTTGTCTTAACAAGTGCTAGCACCAATACCAGTGACAGTCCACCTCAGGC